TCATTTTAATTTCTGAGTCCTGTTCGAACGCTGAGATGCAGAAACCAGACTGAGTACACAGTACTCTAGATGAGACTTACTGAGGTTTTATGTAGCAGAAAAATGATATTCGTTGTCTTCTCAAAACACTTCTGTATGATATCCAGCACTTTGCTGGTTTATTGGGCTGCCTCTGCAAATTGAGCTGAGGACTTGAGAGCTATCAATGGTAATTTGAAGATCTCTTTCTCAAGCTGAAACCACCAGTCACAAACTGTGTTGTGCAGTCAGGGTTTTGGATCATTTTCCTTTTAGATTCATTGTCTTACATTCATCTACACGTGAAACTTACCTGACACCTTTTGCCCACTTATCCTGTTTTGTAAGGTGGGTCTGGGGTTCCTTATCTTCAGCATGATATTTGACAGCCTGAAAAAGCTTATCATTTGCAAACTCGAGATTTCACTGTTCAATTCCTTCTTTACATCACTGACAAAAGTGTGGAATAAAACTAGTCTCAGCACCAACCATTAGGAGCCCCATTCATGATTTGTCTCCAACCTGAAAAGCTATCATTAAACCTTACCCTTTGTTCCCTGTTCTTTAACCAGCTTTCAGTCTGCAGAAGAGCCTTTTTCCTCCCATCTCATGACATTTCTTTTTTTTTTTTTTAAAAACCCTCTAATATGGAACTTTGTCAAAGGCTCTTAAAGTGTTAAATATGTTATATCCTCTGAATTCCCATGTTTGATATCCATGAGAACTCCAGCAGTTAATGAGACAGTTCCCTTTACAGAAGCCATGAAGACAGTTGCCCATAGACTATTTTTATCCATATGGTCTTATTTTTTTTACAATTATTATATAATCTGCCATCTTAATGGGATAAAAATCAGCCTGGCCAGCTTATGGTTCCCGTGATCCCCTCTAAAACCTTTCTTGTACAAGGGAATTGCATTGGTGGCTTTTTGTGAAGGTAAGAAATGCGTGCCAGGCAGCAGTTCTACAGTTTCACATTTGAGTTCTTTCAGGCCTCTCTGAGTGCTGCTAGCGACATTATTAACATACGGTGAATGCATGGTGACTTATGAACATGTTACTCACCTATTTTATTTAATACTTACGGAACGCTAACTTGAAATTGATGTAGCTTCTCTGGTCTGACTGTTACAAGACTGCCTGAGGTGTGGGACTCTCCCCAGCATCTTCAGGAATGAAGATCAACACAAAGAATTAATTGAGCTTCTCTGTTACAACGTATCATCTCTGAGCATGTCTTTTTTAAACCTTCAAGCTGTCCTTACAATTTCCACAGCTGGCTTCCAGGTTTTGGTGTATTTGAAGAACTCTGTATTGTGAACTTGAACATGCTTTGCTCTTCAAAATTTTTTTTTTGATTTATTAATTTATTTTTATATTTAATATGTCCTATTTTGAGTTGCTCTTTTTGAGTAAACTTCCGTTTCCTAAATGCTGACCTTTTTCCCTATGGATGGTTTTCTTAACTTTCCTATGAAGTTTTATGGGTGGCAGGGGAGGATTTTTTGCTGTTGCTTTGTTTTGCTTTTGAAGCATGGCAAACACTTTATCCAAGCTGCTGATACAGGAAAGTGTCCAGGCTGTCTAGGCCTCTTCCTAGTTTAGAATCGCTCCTTCTAGAGTTTTATTTATTTATTTTTATTGTTTGCCTCAGTGTGTCCTATCTTGAAGGTTGGTATCCGTGTACTGATTTAGTTGGTTGCTCTCTCTGGCCACAACGTTAAATCTAATAGTACTTACTGCTGTACAGAGGCTTTCCCATTAACGGTTCTTGAATAACGCTTGTGCACCAATGAAGACCAAATCCTGCATTTCTGTGGGTCTTTTTAGACCGTTTTTTCTAGAAAGACTAATTTGGAAGACGTGGAATGATGGGCAAATTGAAGGATGAACACATCTTTGTCTTATGATCACCAGCTTTGAGGAGAGTAGTGGTAGAACAGTAGTACAATCTTACTGCTCTGTGCTTTAACAGAAAGAGTGGGCTCAAAGAACTGGCATTTTACTGCCAATAGCATTTGGGCCTCGGGATTTCCTAAGGCAAAACCTTGCAAGATATCTAAGAAACTTGTATGGTTTTCCCTCAAAGAGTAAAAAGTTTTACTGCTACCTTCTTTTTCACATTACTGAAGTAGTAAATCTCTAAAATGTTTTATGGGTGGAAAAGCGCATACTTTATTGCAGATTGTATATGCAAGTTTCCTATTAAAAAGTCTTAAGCCTTTCTTGCAGAAAAAAGGCTTGTTCAGGAAAATATTTGAGTTGAACATAAATTTGTATGTTTGTCTGGGCTAGGGAAAAAAAAAACATTACCGTGAATGAAAATGAATATTCTTTTACGCTTTTTGGTGCCCAGTATACCTCTAAAAGTTAAGTATAGGAAGTACAGCTTTGGAGCGTAGACGTCTTGCTTGGATAGAGTTCCTTCATACTTTCAAAGCCAGTATGCACTTGATCTGAACTGTTTTCTGAATTCAGTTATATAAAACTGAATTACTGAAAATGCTTTCCTTCTATTTTAATCACAGAGACCAAGAATGCTTATTTGTCATTACTTGCTGAATTCCTTTGCACTTCTAAATTTCAGACAGAAATAAACAACTACTCTTACTAGGCAGTCATGCATTTAAATATTTTGAAATCACTGAAGAGAGTTCAACACTTTTATCTATTACGTTGCCTATTTGCTTACCAGCTGCTCCTCTTCTAACCAACAAAATTACCATTTGCATCCTTTCTAACTTATTTTTTGGTTCTAGCATTTTACTTCAGGGCTATTTGTCTCCCTATCCAGATAAATAACTGCCGATAAAACTTCCATTATAGTAATTCAAAGAAGTTCTTCAGTCCAAGCAAAAATACCAGTGTTCCTTTTCAGACTTATTAACATGAAATGATTAAACTAATGGAGCCATAACCTAAAAGCATTGTTACTATTTATTATTCAGACTACTTTAGCAGTTGACTTCATGGTTACTCACATAGTGACTTAATAGTTAAAAGGGTGCTATGATCAGTGGGTTTTTTTTCCCCCTCCAACTTACTTAAGTTTAAGAAGCTACTTCAATATAATTTTAAAATTACTTAATTAGTAGTTCCTTAGTTACTCAGTAAGTTTCCAGAATGGATACAGTTGAAATTATCATCAACATCAAGTATGTGATAAAGACAGCTATCATACGTTTGAACATACTTGTGAAAAGGTAAATAATGCCATTATGGATGCTATGGATAATTATTTAGGAAGAACATAGAATGAATTTTGTTCTAGGAACAGTTTCTGTATTTGTAAGGTTTTTTCATTTTTATTTCGTATGTACTGTTTTCCAAGCCACCCTGCAATGACTTGCTCTGGCTATGTTGTGTTACATATTCACAATATATATATTTTTTTTTTTGTAATGACAAGGAAAAAAGAAACAAGATATTCTTATGAAATCTTATGAAATAAAGCTATCTCAAATTTTCTGCAAATAGTTAAGTTAAAAAGAATGAAGAGTGAAAACTTTTATTAAAAAAAAAATCACGTGCCTATCTTGACTAAAGAAAGAACTACCTCTTGGGTTAGTGAGGATGCAGATCTGCAGTATGAGCTTTCTGCAGAAGCTGCCCTCAGTCAGTCAAAAGTGTTCACCTAGCCAATTGCTTGCAAGTAGCTAAGATGCTGGAAGTTGACACCTCTGATCCCACACTTCAGAAGTTGTTTGTGACACTGTACTCTTAAAAACTGGCCAGGAAATACACACTTTCACTAAAGGTGAAGTGGTCTGCAGAGCGTCAATCGCCTGTAATCATAAAATTTGAAACGTTCTATATTGAGTTTAGAGGAAGGAGCTGAAAACATGCAAACCTTTCAGTGCTCTTAAGGGAAAGGTGATATTGAGATTCTTTTTGTGTTCTTGAAAGTGTATATTTGTAAACTATGCAAGAGGAGATGAAAGCACAAGATAGAATAGGCCTCCAAAATGGAGAGAGTGAGTGCTTGTCAAGCGGGCTGTTCTGAATGATTAAATTGAGAATGGAAGGTAGGCTTTTTGGATAGCCTCTTATGTCATAATTTTCATTTACTCCTTTGGAAAGTTTTTCAGTTTGATTTTGATATTATGATTTGACCAGGAACTTTCTCTGCGAAGACTCTCATTTTTTATCTAGTTCTGGAATGTTTTGATTTCTTCTTTGTGGTATTGTAGTGTACCTTGAAAATTTTGATGTCGTGACTTTTGCTGGAGATTTCTGTCATGTAATGATAAATCAGTGGTTATTCAAATAGAAATTAAAAAAAATAGTGGTTTACAGTCTAGTGGTTTTATCAGTGGTAGAATAATGTATCAGAGTAAGCAGTGTAGTACACTAGCCTAGCAGTACAGTAGCCTCTGTTTTTTTTTTTTTTTGCTGCTGTACTGTAAGTTCTTTACTTTTTTTTGTAATTATCAGCACCTTTTTTATTCAAACCTGCCTTTGATATTAACAGAGGACTTCAGATGTTGGTTTATAGAAATCAGTTTAATTTCAATAAAAGAAAAATATTTAATCTTTTCTTCCATGGCTATTCCTTAAATCATTTATATAACCAAGTACATGCATTAATAAGATCATTCATTTAACCAAGTACATGCATTAATAAGGTAAAATCTGTTTGAACCTTGGCTACTTCTTAATCTTCAAATTAGACTTAAAAGAATGAAATGTTAGAATTTTTATCGATAAATTTAAATGGAAATTGAATCATTTGAACTAATGGCTGAATAAAGTGATGACATTCCCACATTAAATATGATGATTTGGTGTATTGCATTAGATATTTTCACTTATTTTTATGAAGACTAGAATTTTTATGAGCAGTAACTCAGAAAAATGTGAGTGCTTAATGGAATCACTCTCCTTAAGACTATTTATACTGACATTGTTTTCTCCCCTTCTGCTACCCATTCTTTTTAACTAGCGTCTGGCAGGTTTTTATTTGTTGTCATTTTTTTTCTTAGTTTCAGCCCAGAATCTCAAGAGCAACCTTGATTCAATGGACCATCAGATCCGGCGCCTCGAAAATGACATTGAGCATTTCCCTAAAACGAAAGATGCACATGATAAGTTTGTCGAAAAGATGAGCATATCCTTTTTGCACTACTTGGTTGGTGGTCTGTGTGTTCTACTTGTCTGGTAAAGTATTTACAACGCTTGAAAAAAACAGTTTTAAATGCCTTCTTCCATGCTTTTATTCTAGCACAGAGAAAAGCATATCAAAATATGGTGAATGTTTAAAAACAAAACAACCTCACATCCCCTAAGGTGTTAAGTAAACTGAAATGCATTTTGTGTTCTTTCTCCGAGTATAACTGTAAAGCACTTATAAGCAGACTTCCAAAGAAAAATAGAATAGCTTTCTATTTTAGAAATTAGTTATATTAACTTGTCTTAAAGATAAGAATTATTTTTATCTCATAGAAAAACAATTTTTCAATGGTAACTTCAGTTCTTTCAATCTAGAAAATTATCTGTAGTAGAACTGAGGGTAATAACGAGTTTCAAATATCGTGATTTTTGAAGGAGAGAGTATGAATTTTATTACTCATTTCGTTTTTCTTTTGTTTTGGACAGGTCATTTTAGAAAACAGTATTTATGCATTTTATACTCAAGATTGATTTATCCTTTTATTTCTGTAGGGAATAGAGACTGTAGATTCTTTAACTTTTAGTAAGCAAAACCTACAGGAGAATGTAAAATGATGCATCTATTTTAACCTCTGTTTTCCCTCAAAAATTTTCACATATCCAGCTCTAATTTTGTTCAGTTCTAAAGTACTGGAAATGCAGGAAGCTCACAAAACTTTGAAACAGACTAAGCAAAATTCTATTGTTCTTAAAAAGAGAATTACCTTTTTTGCACAAAGCACATTTCTGCATGTATGGAAATACTTAGCATATGGTACATGGCCATAACTAAGGACTTCTGTGCGTTTATTTACAAAAGCTCAATTTGTTAATGTGACATCTATTCTGCCTTAGCCCAATGAGACAGAAGTCATAGCTTTCTTTAAAAAGGGACTGATGTCAAGCCGTAAGAAAATATACTGGTCGCACTTAGGTAGTGAACAGCTTCTCCTAACTACTGTGTATTTGGATACTAGATTTTAACGGGGTCAACCATCTGAATGGATCCAGTGACAAAAATTCACAACTATATTTTAGTGTAGGGTTTTTATTCTTGACCCATTTTTAAATAAGCTAATTTGTGATTTCACTTAGTCTCTTTTTATTTACTGCATACGGTTATTCATTTCAGTGCATACCACTTCATATAACTCTTGAATGAGTAGCAATAATTTAAAGCTGCTTTAAGTATTAAAACAAAGACAGATAGGGAGAGTTGTATCGTACTGTTCCACAATCTGTTTAAAAACAACGCAATGCAGTGCAGGAATAATGTGTTCAGATAAGTATGCTCACTGATCAAAAAACATTGAATAAAAGCTGGTAGATTTACATTTAAGTAGCGTTGGTTACAGTCTGTTAGCTCGATATATGTTTTGAGCAGTTATTTTAACACAGTTTGATATTTAAAATCTGAGGAATAATGGGTTAATGTTATCGGAATAGTTCATATTTAAAGGAAAACTAGAGGCAACCAAATGAAATCATTTGATAACAGAATCACATTTGGTTTTACATCAGACTGGCTTTAGAGCTGTTCAGATGTCCGTTTGAGTTGGTTTTGTAGTCATATCAGTGTGACTTCCTGCTTAAGAGTGTTTCCTTTTTTTGCATTTATGACCTTTCATAAAGTTCAATAAAAATAATAGATTTAGATGAGGTAGCTATAGGTTAATTGCTTTCTTCTCTAAGTAATTAATAGTTAAGATAGTTAAGATATAGTTAAGATATAGTATGATCATCTGGTTTGTTTTCATGTATAACAGAAAAGTCTCACCAAATAATGCTGGAGTTAACTTCTCTTTGATTAATATCATGTCCTTTATGATGGTGTGTGATCTAGATTTTAAAAATTCAACTCTGCTACATCCCTAATAGGTTGTACCAAAGATTGTTTCTCTCAAAAATAGGCATATTGTTGCTGGTTTGACTTTTTATACTTCCAGTTTCTAGACATTGTGACTTTTTTTTTTAATTTTCCTTTAAATTTTAGGAGTTGTTTTTATTAGAGATCATCATCTCCATGTGAGAACTTTCATACTGTGGTGAGGTTACTTAAATTTTTCTGCAATAACAAAGTAGATTGGTTTAGGGCTTCTTTTCTAGATGACTAATATTTTTGTCAACATACTTCTTAAAATATAGATTCTGACTAAATACAGAATTTCAGTAATCATTTTGTAGCTTCCTAGACACGAAGAGTGAATAATATTATATTATGTATAACTTTGTTCTACATCAAAAAAACTGTAGCTCTGTAGCCAGCATGATCATCGTGGAACCTTGTGTTCAGTTAGTTAACGCAATGCCAGCTTGCTGCTGTGATCTCCGCTTCCCAGGACACAGCTCTCCATTCTGTAAGTGTGCATCTGTGTGTTTTATTTATGATGAACGCTGTGGAATTTTAAAAAAAATGAACTATATGGAAATACTTCTGTGAGATTCTGAAGTGATTTCTGTGGTCACTATCTTGCTCTTGTGCTAGAATTTTAGTTTGCCTGCCTTTTTGTATCAGGGATTTTCTTTAAGTATTTAATTGTCTGAGTTTTAAGGAGTGCTCAGGGCATGCTCTGAAGTCACTGGGAGGGATCCTGAAGCTGGCCTGTATGGTAGGCCACTAGGAGTAGTTGGTTTCAATACCTTATGAGAATTACAGCCATGTTATGGCAAAAAGTATAATATGGTTACAATGAAAGAAAAGATTAAAATATTCCTTACATGAATTACATTTAATATTAAGTAAGTTATGATTCTTGGGACAACTTTTCTGTTATCTGGTCCATGGCTTGAACTCTACTTCACTTGAATATCAAATTGTAAATAATTTAACTTTAGCTGTGGGCTGTTTCTTTTATAATTAGCCCAGATTCATGCAGTTGGGCAGTTTGATTCAACAGTTTAGAAAAGTAATTAGCGACCATGACAAATTTTGCTTTCACTCCTTGTTTTGTTTCAGTGCTTGTGCCTGTAATTAAAGAATTTTAAATGGAAAACTTTGAGTTCTATACTCACTCGTGATAGGTGTGTGCCTAGTCTTCCTTTTAGTGATGTTAAGAGTGCTTGTATAGATAGGGGTTGAGAAACAAATTCGATTAATGGGGTTTAACTTTGCATGTTATTAAGAAAGGTTAAATGGAACAGAATAAAATGCTGTTTCAGTGGTGAGCCTTGGAAAGTTGAACAGTTCAGATTCCACTGAACTTTAACTCATCTTGAATTAGAACTATAGATACATAGATACCAACTATCCCTCCACGAGCACGCATGCACTCACTCAACCACCCTGATTTCAAAGATATAGTCCTCTAAAAAAATGGACTGGAGCTTTGTTCTGTGCGGAAGGGCAAAGCAGTAGACTTCAGATAGCAGGAGGGCACACTATTTAATGACAAGGTCTCATTAGGCTCATTCTTTTCAATTATTTTGCCAGTTAAAGAGAGACTGACTCTTGGCTCTAGCTGTTTGAGTTTAAAGAACCAGAGATCTTGTTTGAGGACCATTGAAGAGTTTGCTGACAATCTCGCATTAAAACATTTTTATACAGTGTATCCTAGATGGACTAATATGTCCTTAAATTAGGACTTAACAAAACTTGTTTGTTTTTCAACTGTATCGTTTAGCTTAGTAAGAGTATTAACGTGCCTCATCTTGTTGATATCTTTAAAACACCAGGCTACCACAGTATTATAATGTAAATATTGACTTTTGTTTTCAAGTGCATATATCGCATCTCTTGAGGTACTACAACTGAGAATCTATTAGAGTTTGGGTTGTAAAATCAAATATTAAACAACAGTTGTTGAAGTTATTTCTTCTAGGACAACATTTCCTGGAAATCTGAAAATGCAACTGGAAGTTTCAGGTGGTTCGTGGAAATGTACCTATTGAAGTAAACTAACTTCGCCTATATTATAATAGATTTACATAAACAGAAGGTAAACCTGTGCTGCTAGATGACTTTCATAACACACCACCTGCTGAATTTAGTCAGTTTTCATTCCTATTTGTGCCCTTTCAAATAGGAAGAGTGGGCTAAACAGTAATGCCTTTTTAGAATGAGGGAATGGGACTGCCATAACAGAAGAATTGAAGCTGCCTTTCTCCTCCAGCTTTCACAAGGTTCAGGGAGTCTGAATCAGAATAGCTAGATCTGTACACACCTCCACATGCAGGTTCAGCATAAACCCAACTATTTTGTGAGGTGCCAGAGGAAGCAAGTCTCTTTCTTGATGACTTATGACTGCTCTTTGGGTAAAGAATTTTGCTACGAACCTAGCATTCTAGCCAATGTCTTCCATTGGAAGGAGTGCCCGTCAAATTTGGGACCTCCATGGAAGATTCAGTGATGATGAGGCACCTGCAGTCCTTTTACAGATGGTCCTTAGCTGGGTCAAACTAGCTCTAGCTTTGATTCGCTTCATGCTTTGATTCTCACATTGGCAGAAACTTTTTCCCTTCTCGTTAGCATTGCATCGGTCAAGCAGTTTTTATCACATAGTAATCAGTAAGGCCTCTCTTTCTTCCATATTTATGTTTAGAAACTGATGCTGTAACATAGTGCTTGTCACTTTCTCCAGACCCTTGGCTCAATGTGAATAGTAAGGATATGTACCAGAGCAGTAAAAAGTGACACTTGTTTTTTCTGATTAATTGCATGCATGCAAATAACTTAATCAAATCTGTTATTTTTCAGGAATTGCAATATTAAGGGAACCATGAGTGAAAGAGCAAAAACTGTTGCAGATAAAAGCTTTTCTAGACAGTATTTATTCATAACAGTGATCTTGTGAAATAACTTAATTTTCAGAAATAAGCACTATTCACTAAAGCAAAATGCTTTCTTAAAAAAAAGTCAAGCCTTCTGCTTCCAAGGTTTCTCAGCTGATATCGATATGTGCTCATAGTTCTATGCTATGTTCTAGCAGTGACTATTGCTACACAGTACAATGAGTTTTATTA